GCCAAGCTGTATGTCACTGGAGTTGAAGTCCGCGCATCTTAGAGTGACCAAGGTTGAGAAACACTGCTCTAGATCTACTCAGGTTCTCAATGACAGGGCATTTTAACTTGTGTGAACAAACAAGTGATGGTAGTTCTAACTCTAGAGAGAACACTTTGGGATTCACTTCAAATTTCAAATCTCTCCCAGAATTTAGGAATTCAGAATTATCTATCATTTTTCCCCCCAAAGTGACATTAGTGCTTCTTTAAAAAACAGCCTCCAGGCTTTATTTGGTATGCTGTACATACACAAGTTACATCTTTTTTCCCCCTTGCATATGAATATTGCACATCAGTTCATTTGCTCATGGATTAATCCAACCCCCAAATTTATCCACCTGCAAGCACAATCTGTTTGGGATTTTACACCGCAAATTAGTCTCTAAAGGGATGAATTCTTAGGCCGCAGTAAACTCTACAAAGAAAAAGGAACATATGAACTGAAAGCAATTTTCAATATTCTCTGTGTTGTGCAGGAAGGCAAACACGGTAAAATGCGCAGGGTCGCAAGACTCCAACAATAATAAAGGAAGAAAATGTGGAACCCATACTTTTGTAGCCAGAGTGAGTGCATGTTCCCTGTTCCCTTCAATAAGGGGTGAACAATCACAGAAAGTTAACCCTCTTTTTGTCAGTCTCCACACCAGCTTCAAGCTGCCAGTTCTTTTCCCCAACAACAGGACCTATCCCATATTGACAGGTTAGAATTAAGTTCAGAGGAGGGTGACAAAAATGATTTACAGGGACTTGAGGACATGCCCGAGAGGACACGCTGAAGAAGTTGAGATGTTCAGTCTGGAGAAAAGAAGACCAAGATACCATATCTGGGAATCTACAGAGAAGGGAAGATGGCCAAGAACTATTCTCCATGGCCACACAAACCAGGAATAATGGATGTAAGTTGCAGCTAAGTTGTCTAAATATAAGATAAAATTTCCAGATAGTAAGATCTGTCCAAAAGTGGATGGCAATTGTAGGTTCTCCATCTCTGGAGGGTTTTAGCAAAGGGGCTGGGCAGCCATCTCAGAGATGGTTTAATTGGCTTCCTTGCACCCTGCAGAGGGTTGGAGTAGATGATACTGTGGTCCCTTTCAAACCCACGGTTTGATGATTCCTTGTTGTCCAACTAAGAAAACTCATCTGCTAACACACCTGCCAAGCCAGGCCTGCTTTCTCTCTGCTATTAATTTCTCCTGTCTCTTTTTTCAAGAAAAACTCCTTGTCCCAGTTTCTCATAGCCTTTTTCCTTCTGCTCCACCACCCCCTCTCAGGGATTTCTCAGTATCCCAGCACTTCTGCTCCTCAATCTGTCCAATCTTTTTCCTAGCTCCTTCACCGTATTCAAAATAGACCAAGAATTTTCAGAACAAGCATCACATCTTCTGCTTGCCATAATCCTGATTTCTCCCCAAGCTCAAGAATGTAATATAAACACTACCCCAGCCCATTCTTCCAACTACAATGCCTCCATCCTTTCATAGCGCTCACCAAACTTGAGAAGTCCCTCAGATAGAGAAAGGGCAGCCCCTCAAATTGTAAATTACCTGAAGATGCCTTCGGTCTGGTCTCCATTCAGTGCCAGGACCTCTTCTGATAGCCTGGTCTGCACCCACGGGAGCTGGCGATCTGGGTACCTCTCCTTCTGCATGTTCATGATTTCTTGCAGAGAGCTTCCAAACATGGAAGGGTTGAAGACGGCATTCTTGGCATGACGAATCTCTTCAATGTTTGGCTTCTTCAGGCCCTACAGGAAGGAATGCATTTGGTACAAGCAGAGCATCAACCAGATGTCACAAGGCTTGGTTGGGTTGTCTCCCCAAGGGGCTGGAGCAGAGTCACTAGCACCACCACCATTAACATCCCTGCAAGGAGTTTATGAACTAGATTTCCACAGTGAGAGAACCACCAATGGAAAGAGTAATCAGGCTGTGTGTAGGGGGGGAAAAAAGTATTTATGTCTGGACTTAAGTCGGGGCTCTGGTCAATCCAGGAAAAGGTTCATTTTCTGCACTTTTTTCCATCTCTGCAGAAGCCATCTTTAAGTGTGGTAGCCAGAACTGCAAACAGCATCTGGATGCAGTCACGCCACAGAAATTATGTAGAAGCAAAATCTTAAATGTTTTGGGTTCCAATTCTTTTCCCAATGAAAGGGGCCTACCTGGCATTTTGACAAACCCACAGGGACTGCAGATGTCTTTAGAAACCATGTTCAGGAAAGTAGATCTCAAGGACAGACTCAAACCATGGTGTTCACAGCCAACTTTTAATCACATTTCATCTCTCTGACATTGGAACCAAGGAGCGTGCAAAGAACTGTCTGCTGCAGTCCAGCTTTGGCCACAGAGAGGCAGCCTGACTCTAATAGGTAGGCAGAAAAAGATGTCCACAAGGCTTATTAAGATGGTGAATGGGTTGCTCTCCACAAGGGCAGGGGGAGCCCCTTCTGCTGGAAAAATACACAAGAATGCCATACTGTGCTTCACCCCGACTTTGATGGAAGACGGCTGGGCTGCCCATCGGCTGGGAAGCAGTCCACTACAGAGGGCACCCTCCTATTCAGGAGGTCATCAGCTCAAATGAATGGAAGGTAAGGGTGGAGGAAGAGCTGGAGGAGACAAGAAACTCTGCAGAAGAGCGAGGGGAAGGTAGCTTAAGAAAATGAAAGGGCTGCCAATCCTTGTGCTGGATTGACGCTGTGCAGTTCCAGAAGCCAGAGCATTCTGCGCCAGCTGTTCTCCCACGGGCCCCGGGCCCCTCCTCTCGCCAGGATGATCATTGTTGCCACCTGCACCAGACCAACTTTTAGGCAGATCTTGGTGCCCAGGCCTCATTTGCCTGTATAACTGGGAAGAATGCCCATCTCCATCCATGGCTGTGGGAATTGGCTGCATTTCAGAGGACTACTGTCTTTGTTTCTCCGCTCCAGGTATAGAAGAAAAACACCAAACTAGGCAACCTAGTTTGAACCCTAATCTCAAGCTGGGGAGGACAAACATGAGCTTGGTCATGGCACAGAGAAAGGCCACTGATCCCCTGCTCATACTGGCAGCCTCCCGACCCTTCAAAACAGAGTCCGCTCCTCTGTTCCCTGGCCCTTGGGCTCGAAGCAGAGGGGGTGAAGTCTACCCAAGGGAGCAAGCTGGAGGCAGGAGTCCTGTTCTCACACCCTTCTCTTCATGCACGTGCCCAGAGCAAGCTTATGGGCCTTCCTTTGTTGAAATTTCATCCTTTTTCCTTATCGATGCAGAAAAGACTAGCATCTTCTGACTCTGGGTTGGTGCTTGTTGTTTTAACCCTATGCGAGCTGCAAGAACCCCACCCGCCCTCCCAGCTTCAAATTCTGCAGAAGACTGCCACTCTTCTCTGTACACAAGATACAACTGCTTTTCTTAAAGCATTTTCAGCTGCAATGGACTGCAGGGATATATCACCCATATATAAATAGGATAAATAAATAAATGTGTGTGTGTGTGTTTGAGAACAAGAAAGAGTCAGACAGGCAGACCGAAAAATCTAAATAAACCATTTTTTAGTAATGGTTTATTTAAATTTTTATGTTTTATGTATTTATATGTATTTATGGTTTTAACGTTTTGTGTGAGCTGCCCAGAGTCCCCCATTGGGGGGAGATGAGCGGGGAGAAATTTAATAAATAAATGTATGTATGTATGTATGTATGTATGTATGTGAACTGTGGACTGATCCTTGCAAGAAACATGATTTTGTTCAGATCAGACATATTTTACAAACCCTAAAACCCAGCCCTCGCAGCCAGAAACAATTCTGTCCCCCTCCCAGATTCACTCTGGTCCTTTACAGCCCAGAGATCTGCACACGCTCTTGAGACATCCAACCTTAAGTTGCAGGAACAGACAAGAAAAATGGATTGACTGCGCTGAGGGTCTTCAGCAGGCGAGGGCAATTTTTATGCCTCCTGACCCTTTACAATGGCTTTATAGTTGTTAAATAACAAGGGGCCAAGAAGGACCATTGCAGGACCCTCTGAAACAATTCCCAGGAGGTTGAGCAGAATTCTCCCGCTGCCACACTCAGATCATGCCCCAAAATGTAAGAACAAAACCAAGGTGGTCCCCACCCCGGTCTAGCCCCCTCAAATGCTTCCAAAGAATACTGTGGCCAGCCTTATCAGAAGCTTCTGAGAGATCCAGCATTTGCAAGATTGCACTCCCAAGCCACTGATATCCCCTTGGTGTCTTTCTCAGCCTGGTTTCTGGAATGCTCCTAAGTGGAAATGCCAGGGGTTGCCCTTGGGACCTCTGACGTCCAACACACTGGCTCCACCCTGAGTTGAACCCTATTTCTACAGCTGGAACACAAAGATCTGCTGAGTCAGGCCCAAAGGTCCCATCAGACGTGCCCAGGAAACCCACAACCAGGGCAAGAAAACGCAGTGTCTCATTTCGGAAGTTGCACCCGAAACTCCATATCCCATTGATATACGCATCTTTGGAGTGGGTTGGCCCACTTTCCATCACAAGGTTTCAAAGCAGCAGGCAGGAGGCCTCAACACCCAAATCGATCATGCTGTAGAACTATCTATTCATAAAACAGCATTGCAATCAAAATCAGTCATAGGGCTGAGAACTAGTAACAGCCTCAGCCCCTGTTCAGGTTATCTGGGAGGGTCTTCCAAGGAGGAGGCACCCTCCCCCCACACACACACACAATGAGCTCCAGTAGGAGAACCTTCTGCTGGAGATTTAAGGGACGAAGAAGCTGGCAATGGAAGGCCAATGCTCTTTGGGCATTTGGACTCCCAGCCACTTCTGGCTTCTTATTCCCAAAGCAAATACCACAATAGCAGGTGCTCCCCACCTCCCTTCAGAGGCCAGAGGATGCTAATACTCCCTGGCACCCTTGTTGTTTCGGCTGACGTGGCTACGGGAGCCAACTCCCAATCCATAAGCCAATCAAGCATCTTCTCAATTCTCGAGGAGGAGGAGAAAGGCAGGGGCTGGCCAGGAGGTTTGCAACATGGCGCCTTCCTATTAAATGCCAACACGCCACCTTCCCCTTCTCTTAAATGACCCAAAGCTTCACACACACAGAGCCAGGTAGGCAGTGAACCTGGTGGGCCTGTAGGAAGGGGCACAGGGGCGCCATGCTTCCTACCCTCACACGTGTCCCTGAAGAGCGATAAAGAGAATAGAGACCAACCTCAAGCAGTCTCTGCAATTCCAGTTTCTCCAGTGGGCCTTCCCTTCTCCTGCCAACTTGCTTTCCAAATAAATACCCTTTACTCTTGCTCTGCCTTCTACTACTTCTCCCCTCCCCCTCCTAATTCCGCCAGCGGGGGGGGGGGGGGACCAGAGCCGCAGCCATTTGTCCTAATGAAAGCTGGAGATCAGTGAGTCATCATGTTCTGTTCAGCTGCCTGGCGCAGCGCTTAGCAACTGGGAAGAGGCAACAGCGGTGGCTGAGAAGGCGCCCTGCGTGCCCTCCACCGGTGTTTGCTCAGAGCAACGCAAGGGCGGGCAGGGTAAATGGCACGGGGCAGCCTTCCCCAAGGTGGAGCCCTCCAGAGGGTGGGGCTGCAATGCTCACCCGCATACCGCCAGCATAGCTGCAGGGAGCCAGAATCGGAAAGGCGCTTAATCCACAGGATTAGCAAAAGACGTTCTGTAATTCAGGCTGGAAAATCCAGACAGGAGCCTCACCTGTTAGGGCAGCAACCCAGAGGGAAGCTCTCCTACCCAAGCCCCACGGGCGGGCGTGAGAGTTGGAGGCAGCAGTCTCCCACTCCAGGCTCAACTCTTCTCTGCTGCCCTTCTGACCAGCATCCAGAGCCCCCACAGCCCCGGTCGCTCGGGATAAAGAGTAGAGTAACTGCAGAGGCTGGCGCAATTCCTTTAACACAAACAGGGCGGCATTCATATACGTGTGTGTGTGTGTGTGTGTGCGTGCACACGCACGTGTGTGAATGAATAGCAGAGAGGCACTTTACCTGTGTGAAGTCTGAAGCACGTCCTTTTAAGCATCTATATCTATCTATCTATCTATCTATCTGGGGTGCACAGGCTACAAAAAGATGTACTTCAAAGATGTGCTTCCAAAAGCATGCATAGATAGAATAAAGGACATGGATTAGATAAATATTGTAATTTCTTAGTTTAATTATGGTGAGCAACCCAGAGTCATTGAGAGTCGGGCGGCATATACATTTAATAAATTATTACTATAAATAACCAACAATGCGAAATCACAGCTGCCAGTTCTTTAGCTGGTGTTGGCCTTCATTCACATCGAGTTCTTCCCATTATTCAAATTATTATTATTATTATATTATTATTATTATTATTATTATTATTGCTACTACTATTAGTTATTATTTGGATTAGAGAGAGAGATAGTGGTAGACAGCTAATCTGTTCATCTTATGTAAGATAAACAGATAGATAAGATGGATTAGAAAGATATGATGGAAGATGGGTGGGTAGGTAGATAAGATAAATGGAAGGATGGAATGGATGGATAAATGATGATAGATAGATACAGGTCTGTCCTTAATTCAAATTTGTATATAAGCTGGAACAGTATTATTGTATAATACTGTATAAGTAATATTGTGTAATGAACGTGAACCACTGTGTATTTAACTCAAATCATTGTGTATTTAACTCGAATTTTGCTACCATAGGCTTCATTCTTAACTATGGGTAGTCTGTAACCCAGGCATTCTTAACCCAGGGACTACAGATAGATAGATAGATAGATAGATAGATAGATAGATAGATAGATAGATAGATAGATAGATAGATAGATAGACAGACAGAGCGAGCGAGCGAGCGAGCGAGCGAGCGTACATGCTTTGGCCCTCATGCAAGCAAAACATTTCTCTGTTCACTAAAGCAGCCCAGCTTCTTTTCAGGCTCCAAAGCCACCGTAAGCGTGCCCTGCTTTCAAGAGCTGATTTATGAGGTGAGTGCAACTCTTAAAGCAGCTGCACCTTTTTTTCAGATTAGCGTGGAACTGTGAAAAAAAAAAAACAGCTTTAAGGACTCATGGAGAGGGACCAAACTTGCACTGAGGTCCAGAGTGCAACTTCCAAATCATTTTCAAACTGCAACAGCTGAACATCTGCTCTATATTTTCATCTCGTTTTCCTGATTTATATTTTGCTTTTTTTTTTGCTCTCACCCTTATTCCCCTTATTTTTTAATTGCTTTAATTTTTAATTTGCTTTTAGTGATTTTTTTTACCATTGCTTTTTGTGATTTATTTATATGGGTTTTGTTTTTTGTTTTTAACTTTGTGAGCTGACCAGAGTCACACGTGTGAGATGGGCGGTTGTATAAATTGAATAAATAAATAAAATCCCAGTCTCAGCTGCCATCAGGACATTTTTGATGGCCTCTGATTCTAGAGTTCTAAGTGTCCTCTTAATCCTGGAAACCTCCTGCACCTTTTTATCCTCCTTGAAGGAAAAATGCTGGGAAGCAAAATATCATCTGGACAGGAAGCCCTTGAGTTAAAAATCTCCACCGACTTTCTCCTTTTGAACAAAAGGACAATGGCCAGAAGGATGAGTTGGATCTTTTTTGTCCTGGCCCGCTCGCTGACATTTGCTCCGTCAGGATCAGGATTTTGAAACCCTTCTTGGGGTAACTTTTCCACGCTGGACCCAACCACCCCAGGTGCCCCCATACTCCTTTGGCTACCAGCTCCAGCCTCCCAAGGCCACTTCAAAAGACGACGCAAAAGAAAGAGGGGGAAGATACCTTCTTGGCGCCAGTCAACGCTGCTTTCTGGAGCTTGTTGTAACAATACTTGGCGTAAGTGCTTACCGCCACCCCTACAAGAGAGAAGGGAGGAAGGAGAGAGGAAGAAAGAGAGAGAGAGAGTCAGAGCCAGGACAATTCATGGGCCGCCACCCCAAGAGAAAGAGGCAAAGAGGAGAGACCCAAGCAGCTAGCCGAGAAGGAACCACGCAACCAGAGAGGTACCTTGCACGGCAAACAGGCCCTCTTCCCGTCTGTCTTGAGCAGCTCCCTGAAGCTGCTACCCAAGAAGGGCCCTGTGGGGCTGAGATTCTGCTTAGACAAGATCCCATCCTAGCAGCATCCCCTGGAGTCCCATCAAGTCCATTCATGGCCACCTGGCACCCTCTTCTTCTGCCTCCTCCTACAGCTATGAAGCTCACTCTGGCCATTAATTTCTAATTCACTGAATATCAGGAGAGCAACAAACGCAGGGATAAGCCTTGGCCCAGATTGGACCTCCCACCCATTGCCTAGCCTAGGAGCAGCTGCTCAGTGTGGAATTAGTTCTCCAAGGATGCTGGCAAAGAGGGGACCCTTCCAGTTCTGCTATGCTACTAGAGCACCACTGAATTTGAGATCCTTGGCTGTGCCCCAAAGTAATGGGTCTCATGCCCCTTCCTACTTCCAGTGGGCAAACTCCAACTGGAACAGCACATTTAGACTAGACTGGCTCCATCCTGTGATGGAGTCAGGTAGGCCAACAGACCAACTGTGCAATCGATATGCTCACCTCAGCCTGGGGTCACGTGGGACATTCACACTGGGGCCTCCCATGTGACACCTTCAAAATGGTAGAAGCAGAAAAGTGAAGCAGATTTCGGGCTGGCTCTGTTCTCAACTTTAAAGTTTTAAAATGTGTTTATTAGATTTATATCCTGCTTTTCTTCTGGGCACTCAAGGCAATGAACATAGCACTTCTTTTTCTTACAACAACCCTGTCAGGTACTTTGGACTAAGAGGGTGAAGATGGGATCTCTCACTTCTCAAGCACCTTCACTGCCACCCCTCATCGGCTCTTGGGCAGAGAGGGGGCTGAGTCCCCCAGGGAGTTTCTATGGCTGTGGGGGGATTTGAGCCTGGGTCTCCCCACTCCTAGTCCAATACCTTTCCCACTACTCCACACTGCTTCTGGGACTGAGAGAGGAGGATTGGCCCAAAGTCCTGCATGGAGTTTCCATGAGTGATGGGGGACTGGAACCTGGGTCCCCCCACTCCTGGTCCAGGACATCACACTGGCCTCCAAAGTATATAAGTATATTTAATCTTTCAAATTAATTATCTGCAAGGTAGCGAATGTGTGTGGCTCAGAATATGAGCGTTACTCCTAGTATGGTAATGAAAAGTCCACAACCCCAAAATAAAGCTTGGAAAACAACACAGCAGTTGTTCTTCTATCTGATTTGTCCATTTAGTAGGCCCCCATAATCCCACGGTTGATTCCTGTCGATTCCAAGGCACTCCGCAGCCTCCCCACTGATGCCTCTTCCCCTCAAGCACATAATTTCCTAGGAAGTGTGCAGTGACCATCCTCAATCAGGAAAAACCCAGCCTCCACAAGGAAGCACCAGCAGGGGTGGTGTGAGCGCTCACAGCTCCCAAACCACGTTTTAGCCTTAGATCTGAACCACAGCGCATCCCAGGTGGTTAAAAATAGTGAGCGTATTCTAAACCTGGGTGTCCTAATTATTGCATTCTAGGTGCACCCTCCCTCTTTAAAAGAAAAGACAATTTGCTTTAGTGATGTCATGATGCACATGATGTCATTGGCCCCCACCCCCTGCAGATCCCCACTGGCCAAAACCTGGTTGGGAATTCTGTGAATTGCACGCCTGCCACACACTTGGAAGGACCAGCCTAGGAAAGATGTTGGGCGGGGGGGACCTTCAGAGAGGAAGTTGTCAGCACCGAGGCCCTCTGCTTTAGTCAAGGATTCTCTTCTCTTTGCAGCAAGAGAGTGTGGGAGTACGATGGCTATATCTTGGGCAGCATGAAAGTTGGGCAGCCCATTGAGACTGTACCCTCTCAGTCTGCAGACAGGGGATTATAGAGCGGAGTACACCATGTTTTAAAGAAGGAGGGTCCTCACAATTAGAAAACTAGGTCAAGCAGAAAGCTGGGCAGGGATGTTACAGGTAGTCCTTGACTTACAACCACAATTGGGACTGGAACTTCCATCACTAAACGGTGCAGTTGTTAAGTGAGTTGTGCCAAACTTTACGACTTTTGCCATGGTTGTTAAGCAAATCACACGTTCATTAAGGGAATCTGGCCTCCCCCATTGACTTTGCTTGTCAGAAACACCCTGGGAAGGTCGCAAATGGCGATCACATAACTCCAGGATGCTGCAACTATCGCAAATACATGCCAGTTGCCAAGTGCTCAAATTTTGATCACATGACTGCAAGAACACTATGATGGCTGTAAGTGCAAGGACTGGTCATAAGTCACTTTTTTCAGAGCCATCATAACTTCGGTTGTTAAACAAATGGTTGTAAGTCAAGGACTGCCTGTATACATGGTGGAACATTCCACCCTCTGAGCCCCCCACAACAATCTTAAGTAGTAAAGTCCAGCAGGAAGCTTCCTCCACGAGACCATTTCCTTCCAAATTTAGTGACACTTGTGCACAAATCCCTTCCTGGCTCCTTATATCTGCTTTGGGAAATGTGGAAGGCTGTGCGTGATTTTTTTTTTTTTTTAAATACCTTCTCTGGTCCCATTTTGAATGGAGGAAGTACTCGGATTGCAAGTCTGTGGCTCTGAGTGAAACAAGCCTCAAGACATGTCTCCTGTTTAACAGCAGAAGGCACCATTCTGCAAGAGCCGAGAAAATCCATCCCCAGGGTGACCTCTGAGTCCCCCAGAAGACCGCAAGCATGGCATCTTTTGGAAAGGACCAAACTACTTGGCTGGCATCCCAATCTCCCTGGTCCAGTAATGCAATTAAAGCCATGGCAAGACAATTTTGCTTGGAAAAGACCATCTCAAACAGAGAAGTCCTGCAGAGGTGTAGTAGCCAAATATGTTCCAAGCCCAGGCCAGCCCCAGCTCCCAGTCTCCTGCCCAGCCAGAATGGAAAGCAGTGATATGCCCTGACCAACTGTGGGTCACCCTCCGTCCCACTGTCTACACAGCCTTTTCTAACACAGAAGCCACCAGGCTGGAGAAGGTCTACTCTTGCCACCAGAAAGTTCTCCAAGCTCTCCAGGCAAGGATTTCTCGCAGTCCTAGCAATGAGCTGAGAATATTCTATACAGAATTCTACTGCAGAATTTAAAACAATTGAACTGAATTGAAAACAAACTCTCGCTTTTCACAGAATGAATTAATTTGGGACCAGTTGCAGGAGGTCACTAACATCAGAGATGGCATTCCACAGACCCTGGAATTCTTGGATGACCTGGGAGACGTCAACCCCAGGTCAACATGGCCAAGACCAATTAAAAGGAAGAGTGGGAGCCTTCAGAAAAATTGCTTTGAAACTGGTGGCCATCTCTGAGTTATTCCTTTTCCCACTATGAAACTGGAGCTTCACTAACAACAGGGCAAAAAGTTTTAAAATATTTCCCTGGAGAATTCTCCCTTTGCCCCCTTACTGTAAATCTCCATTGTTCAGGGGAAGGATGTGAGGGACTATCTACAACATCCTTCTGGGTTAAACAACAGAAACAGATAATCACACAGGTATTTGGTAGGAGACACAGTGCTATTACCTGGATCATGACACCATCATCCATCACACTTGTGGAATGGTGTCCTAGCCACGCATGATCTCACTTGGCCCCCAATCTTGTGGACGCCCATAGGTGTCTCAGGAGCCCTCAATGGACCTTCTTCTCCTGCTGCCAGGTCCAGACAAAGAAATAACCAACCTTAAGGCCAAGAGCCATCAGCAGCCTTCTTAAGTATCCCATTTCAGTCTTAAGCCCAGAATCAAGATTCACAGGCAAGCCAGTGAGGAATATAAAGAGGCGACCTTTAGGGACACTACAGGTCTGTGCACACAGAAGGAAATCACATGCTTCTTCTGCTCCAGTACAGGAACTGCTCCTTGAGGCCATTTTGTCAAAGTTCAAAAGACAAGGACTTAGGAAAAAGGGGGTTCTGGAAGCTGTGGTCCTGGACCTGAATGACATTCTGCAGTGATCCACTAGGCCTACTCAATACAGGGTCTTTTGGAATCTCTCTTCTTATGCTAAAACTACCTGGAACTATTTAACATGAAAAAGAGGGCTAACGTTACTGAAGTGAAAGAGGCTGTTTTTTCTAAGGGTGGGAAAATCTCTCCAGGACACCCACCCATCCAGGTTGAGAAGAAACTTGAATAAAAACGCTTTTCAGTCCCTTTTTATCAAGAGGAAGTTTCACCTTTCACCATCTGTAAGGGCTTCCCTTTGTGTTCCTTTGAATGGAGCAACCAAATCCCTCAAGAAAATAGTTCTTGTAAACTGGACAAGGAGGCTCCAATTGTCTCATAAGCCGCTGACAGGAACCCTTCAAGAGCACCCACCTCTGCTTTCAGTCAGCAGCAGCTCCACCGCTTTGGCCCTGAGACCACTTGGTCAATATTTTTTGCTGAATCCTATCAGAAGAGGTCCCAAAACAGCCAGGTCGTATATTTGCTAGCATATTTGACACTGAATTTAGAACGGAGAGGACAAAACGGGAAATCAGGAGTCTGTCGTCAAGGCCAGCCCAGAATGATTTCAACGAACATCACAGAACCCTGAAGTTGGCAGGGCCAACTCCTGCTCCGTGCAGGAATCCAATTAGAGCGTTCCTGACAGATGGCTTCCAGATAATGTCATCAAGGGAATGACACATGTGAGACCTTCTGGACTAAGCCTGACTTGCATTACACTGTCTGGCTGCCCGTGGCTGGATCTCACTTTTATCTGCACTTATCATGATTATCCTTTTGCATTTCACATGTATCTGTCATCATCTTGCACTGACCTTATTATTAAGATGGTGCCAAGAGAAGTAAATGTGACAACAACAGGGGAACTTTTGTATTGCAATTGAGCCTTATCTTAATCAGTTGAAGGCTGGCCATTCAAGGAACAGTCACCTGTCTAATTTGCTCTAATTGTAGCACCTCAGAAACAGCCAATTTCTCAACACCAGCAGACCTTCCCATTCCTGATTTGGGCTGAGTAAACACAACAGGTTTAACTTGATGACTGAATCAAGGGTTTGCACAGTAAATCCAACCATAAACTATCATGCTGAGCCACAGTAAGTTCAACCATGTTCACACAACATGCTAAACCATGATAAAATAGTCAAGTTGAATGTGCTGTGTGAATGCAGGCCCCACATTTCCAACTGGCCTCCTTAAACATAGGATGTGAACACAGCCCTGTGTCACTCCTGGCCTCTGCAGCAGAAAGAGGTGTTCATATCAGCACCTCTGTATGGTTGGAGCCAGGCAACCCATTGAACAGTGATTCTCACATTCTGCCATACTACTAAAATTACAAAGGAATTGATGTGAGCCCCCTGCCACTAATGAATAAAGCTAATGATTTCATGGGTGCTAAGGTTGGGCAAGCAATAAATAAGTCCCTTGCACTTACTGAATTTTAATCTGTATGTCACAAACTTTGTGGTAGAGCAAGTGCCTACGATGGGCTCACGCAGACAAAACCAGGTACAAAGTCTAGAGTTCTGATGTGTTTCCACTCGGCCTAAGCAAGGCTGATCCATATTGTTGTTTTTGTTGAAGTGACTCCCCCCATCCCGCTCCAAATTGCTCATTAGACTGGAGGGTCCCAAATCATAGTTTGGAGAACCATGCATTCAAGAATTTTAAAACCATGTATACAGAGATGGAGAGTGTCCAGTTACTTTCTATATCAGTGTTTCTCAACCTTGGCAACTTGAAGATATGTGGACTTCAACTCCCAGAAGTCCCCAGCCAGTATCCGTTGACCATCACCTGCGAACATCCCTGCCTGTAAGGTGGGTCAGGTACATTATCCAGCACCACCCCGCCATCTTCAGCCAGAGAAGGAGGCTGATGAAGGCAGAGCCCTCCAGAGAGCCAATGACCAAGATGAGAGTCAAACTAGATGGCCAGATGAGAGGGAGGCCCTTCTCAGCTATTCTATCTCACTCCAAATGGACTAAGAGTTCAGGGCATCTGAGCAGCATTTATCATGGACAGGGACATGAAGGTATGATTGCGGGCAACAGCACAGGGGCTGCCAGGTCTGGGTTGCAAAACTTTGCATCCCCATTAGATGGCAGCCAACAGCCCAGCGACCCATTATCCAGTAACCCTAATCATAGGAACAGCTGATCCATGATGGGACAAAGGGACCCACCTCACCTCCCCAACTTAGAAAAGAGTTCCCCTACTGGGGCTTCTTCCTCAGGTAAGGACCACTAGGTGAGTCAAAAGAGTTCTCCAAGAGAGACAGGAGAGAAAGAACACGCACACGTGTGCAGACACACCACTGAGCATGCTTTTGATCCTCACCAGCTTCTCCCCAGTTGCTCTTTACTACTGATATGCTAGGCATGGTTAGTTTTAACCTTGCTTTGTTGGGGATATGTTCCATGGAGAGAATCCTCCAAGTAGATAAATTAGGAGGCATGTTAGGTGTGTGGGGTGAATGCGGACAGTGCCATTTTCAGCTACAGCAATTCTGTTTTCTAAAGTATTCACATCTGTCCTTATATATGCGGAAGACACCCAATTCCCAAATAAGCTGAGCAGGGCTATCAGGAGGGGGGACCAAAAAAGTCATCTTGACTTTTTAGATGCCCCGCACCCCTCAGACACTCCTGGATATTAAGACCCAGCTTTCCAGGAGAGACCCCAGGGGGAGAGATGCTAAAACCCAGCCCTTTACAAACTTTTTCCTTTGCTTCAGGTATGAAACAGGAGTTTGTCTGCAAAGGGCCTGCTTAGGGCCTTGCGTCCCGCTCAAGATTCATGTCATGCACCGATCCTGTGCAAGGAGGAGTTAAAAGCAGGAAAGAGGTTTTCTGCAAACACACTTACAAATGCTCCTTATAAGGGCGGTAGAGGAAGCCAGAACAATGCTAAAAAGAAAACTCCCCACACTGTCACGCTTCTGCATCTGCTCCCGTGTTTAGCATAGAGCTATTGTAAATGCAAATTTAACAAGAGTTACAGTTTGGCAAGTAAGAACCAACATCGGCCCAGACCTATGAACTGGCCTGTTAACTCCCTCACAACCTTCTTTTGCCCATAGGTGCATTTTTAAAAACTGCAGAAACCCAGCTCAAAGAGCTGCAATAAAGCTGGAGAGCAACAGCCACTTTGAGTGAGTGGCAGAAATGCAGGATAAAATCTGAAGTCACCACCTTCTTCCAAGGCCATATACACCAGACCTGGCAGAGAGAGTCTCAAAGTTTCTGCCTGCAGCCCAGTGGTTCCTCTAAGGATTTCCTAGCACATCTGGAGGCCCTCACCAGGACTACTAATGCCTTCCCCAACTGGGCACGGTTCAAGGTACATTAGAACAGGGTTCCTCAACCTCAGCAATCTTAAGATGGATGGACTTCAACTCCCCATGCTGGCTGGGGAATTCTGGCAAGTTGAAGTCCACCCATCTTAAAGTTGCTGAGGTTGAGGAACCCTGCATTAGAAGACAACTCCCAAAGTTTCCAGCCAGTGTGACCAAAGGCCTGCTTGCTGGGAATTTGGAGGAAAGGAAGACCTTTGCAGACTTATCTCCCATAAAGTTATCCAACGCTTGGTAGCCCCAGAGAAATGAGTTTAATTATACATGGTTGTGTGCAGAATTATTTCATCTGTCCTGAATCTCCCACCAGGTGACTCTGAGGGCTCTGTTTCAAGGAATATAAAAAAGGGGGAAAGACCTGCCCTGCCCTTTTCTGGGTGCCACGCATAATTACATTTCATACCCCCCACCCCTAATGTAAGAAAGAAGGCCATCCCATTGTAGGTGTCCTTCAGCGGAGCTCCATCTGTTTTGTTTACTGCTCTACTTTTGGACCCAACAGCCAAACAGGTCAAAGCAGGCAGAGGAAACCCAAAATGCTCAATGCTGCAGACTTCCGGTAGGAACCATGACAATGTAACATGCATCATGTAGTCATTGCGCAAATGACACATATTCTGTGTCATTTGCGCGTTGACTCGACTCTTTATGTTCTGCACAATATGGCAATGCAAGCTTCAAACACAACTCAGAAGTGCACTGAACCTTGCACAACACCTCTCTCCGATTCATTCAAACAACCTGACCTTCTTCAAGCATCTGTTCAGAGCCTGAACGTGTGGCGCCACCAGCATTTCTCCACAATCCTCATTCAAGCATGGAAACCCTGCCATCCATGGCAAAGAGGGAGAGAGATTTTCTCTTCCAGATGTTTAGATGGAGCATCCCTTGCTGGTAAAGCCTAGAGCTGGGAGATCTTATTAAGATTCCCCTCCCCCCATGGACATCCTCAGCTGGAGCAAGTGATGTCACGCATGCTGACATCTGCACTCTAACTCTGACTGGCAGCAGAAGAGAGACCTTTCTTATGCCTGCCACCTGATCAGATTCTTACCTGCAGGATGGTGGGCTGGGCCCTGGAAGCTTCTGTCTTCTGGCCAGGATCCCTGACCTCTGAGCAGGCAGGCGGACATGCAGGCATTGCTCCCCCTCCCCCGCACTTCTACCACAGTTGCCCTTTGCACGCCCCCTTCAGCTATACACTCTTGTCTGCCCAGGGCAGATACCAAGGCTGATATACCTAACAGGGTTGTTGTCAAGATTACTGTAATGAGCTGGGCCAAGTTCTTAGCACATTAAAGTTTGCAATCATACTATGGGCTGGGTGGTAACCTTTGGTTCCATAGATAACTTCATCACGCCATCAGTTTGCATTTTGGCTACAGGTTCACTGTGTACAGCCATGTCACATGTGAACATACTTCATATGGGTGTTGGTATGACACAGATGATGGACAAGGGGAAGCAGGGTCTGTCCCCTTCCTAGATAGGAGTCCCCTTCACAACCCTAGGCCCCAACATTACTGGCACCCCAGCGAGGTGGTTCATGCTTGCAGAGCGCAGCCCGTGGCAGAGCCAGAATTGGACCGTTAGCAAAACTGCACCTTGGAAGGTTGGGCCAAGGTCAGCATCTACTGGAGAAAATGCGATCAGCAGTGGGTCTCCCCGAGATTGGGATCCAGAGCCAACAGAGAAGGTGCATCCAAAATTAGCAGTTAAAAGTGGGGAGAAGAATGAAGCCATGTTAAGGGGAGACTGCGAAGAGGCTAAAGAGCTGCAGAAAAGGGAAGCCGAGTTGGTGACTAGTCTAAGGAGAAGAAGGCGCTAAAGGAGCAGTTGGATCTCACACCCTACCATCACGCTCTTCAATATAAGGCTTGGGTTTCTTTCTCAATTTGGACTTCTTCTTACTGTTTCTCTCCAGGAGTTCTTTAATGTGCTGAGTAACTGAGAAACAAAGAGAATGATGAGGACCGTGGGATGGAAGACAAAGACAGAGAGGGTGCGGGGAAAATACAAATTTCCAATTTTCATACCTCCCAAAAACAAACTTAAAAAGGACACGGGCCTTCTTCCATCTGCCCAGATGACCCAGGAAAGAGAGAGCCTGCCCTGGGCCTCCAAGCCACAGAGAATCCACCAAAAAGATGTGCCGAACAGCCCAGAGTTTTTATTTCAGGGGAAGGTGAGCAGTTCCTCGAGGGCAGGAAAATCCATCTTGCAAATATTCACTTTGGAACCAATTTGGGGTCATCTCTATCTCCAGCTTATTATTTTGGCTTTCCTGGATCAATCACGGAGTTGTAGGTATCCATTCAAGGAGTATGCAGTGAATGGGGAGGGTAACACAATGGTACACAGCCAATGAAATCATCCTACCTACTGAGGGCACTAAAGGCAAGTGAGAACAACTAAGAACAATGGCAAATTAAGGCAATGTTGTTGGATAAACAGTTTGGGGAGTAGGAGTCTGACTCCTCCAACTAAGCTATCTGTTCTCCTAGGAGTACCAGCATGGGCAAGTACGTGGGTACACGTGGGCGTATGTATTCACCAGACTTTCCTGACTCCAGTTACTATCATCTTAAGACAGCATGGTCATGCTCTTTGAGGACAGTAGAAGTTGTCACCTAAGGAAACATTTGTCACTCTGAAGCCAAAGGACTGTTCAGGCATGGAGAAATCTGGCTCACCAAGAGAGACCACTTATTTTTTTACCACACTGGCAAAAGGAACCACACTAAATTTAAAAATAAAGGCACTGTGGCCCTGGAAATTTAACAGAAACAGGACTTTCTGCACACAGAGACAAGGGGGCAAAAGTCTTCTATTTCCAAATTCTGCAAAAGACTCAATTACTTTACTGGTAAAAGAGTGCTTCTTGACAGTGGGGACAGCCATCTTACTGTTTTTGATTTAGGCTCCCTGTGGACTAAATCCAGCCTGCTGGATTGCTTTCTGCTGAAGATGCCCCTACTTGGATGATAACAGGAGACTTTGAGGCCCTCTTCCAAATGAGCTGGCCCCCAAACACAGAAAACAGGCCCCTTCCAAATATAGCATAGGGTGGCACATCGCACATGTGGCTGGACTCAGCTTTTCCTCAGTGGTACCAACAGGGGATGATGTAGATCTCCAACACTGGCATACGAAGAAAAGAGGTTAGCCGAGATGAATCCTGCACGGATTCCAACTGTGTACAAGAAATGAGTTTCATGTGGATCAGAATGTATGTGGCTCTTGGTCATAACTGAGGAGTCATGCCTGTGATTTTTCCCTCAAAACTTTAGGAGAAGGGCAAAATTAAAAATTCTGATTGTCATTCAATTGCTTTCCTGCCCTCCCAATCAGAAAATGAAAATCAAACAGAGGCTCTACAAGGAATCATGATGGAAATTATCCGAACCATGAAATTTGAGTTATGTGTGGGCGGCAGCAGAAAACATAATGGGGCTCTTTCTCCAATCTAATCCAGATCTTACTGATTTCCATCAAGCGTGTAGTTTTCTGCAATGAGTTCTGCCAACCTTATTGCAGGTAAAACTGGTCTTGGACATTAGCTGGAAGATCACTTCTTAAGTTGGTGGCCAAACTGTTGGGTTCCAAGAGGCAAAACATTGGCTTGTTTACACAGGTGAGTTTCAACCATGTCATGTACCTCCAGAGATCACTGGGATCATTGATCCATCCCAATCAGTTGAAATCAGGCTGAAACTATTCACATTTCTCTTCAGGGAGGTACCTTCAACCTCAGTGGCTTAGAGAGATGTCCCCAGGATAGGCCTGTGAGCGGCCCTGAAAAGCAACAGAACATCTCCTTTTATGCTCTCACAGCACCTGAAACAGGACCGACAACCAGGAATGGACCTGGTTCTCCTCCGTGAATTTGCAGGTGCAGAAGATCCCTTCCAAGCCATCTGGACCTCACAACCCTCATGGGACCTGTATTATGGAGACATTCTGCAAAAGAACATGCATTTTCTGTGTGCTTCGAATGCTTAGCCATTTTCATTGGATGCTATCAACTTCCGGAATAATAGCGTGTGGAAGAAACAAATGCCTCTTTCTCCACGCTTTTCATCACTTTGTCATCACCTCCTGTGGCTCCTTTAGATTCTCTTAAACTAAAAAGACTCAAACCTGTCCTAAGCCTTCTTTCTTCTCAAGGGAAAAAAAGAGCTTTTGTCCCCATTTGGCCTATTTCTCTCTCCCCAAGAAGGGTTTCCCTATCTGTATGGCTTGAGATGGAGCTCCATCTTGTGCCATAGTTTACCCCAGCAGGTTCCTCAGTGGGCGGCAGTCAAAGACTACCACAGTGCCTGGGCTCTGAGGCCGCTGAGCACCATCCTCAAAGGCACCTTCTCATCCCACTGAGTTGCTGACATCCGTTCTTGCGGACGAGACAGGACACTCCATTTAGGAGCACACTGCAGTTGACGACCAGACCTTCCTTGGCTGTCCATCCAAATGCTCAGCCCTGTGTTGGAAAGGCTCACCAGGACTTCTACAGGCTACGTACTGATGGGCATGCTGCTAGCATATTGGCCCCGTGTCCCCAGTCCTGTGTACCTGCAATTCTTGGTGGACATTGCAGCCTCGCTCTCAATTGCTGCACATCTTGGAGGTGTCCTGCATGCAACAGGTTCATGCACCAAGAGGCAACCTCCAAGCCAGAAAGTGAGGCAAAACGGAGGCTCTGAAGGTCAACAGGAGAAGCCCTAATTGTCAATCCAAGCTACTGGACCTCCCCTCTCCTCCTGCAGCCTCCACATGGATGGTTGGGCTTGCACAAAGGAGGCTTAAAGTGGACTTGGGTCAGTGGTGGCTGAGGCTGCTATGGGAAGCAAGCCAGGGTCTTAATAAATTGGGTGAACCAGGTCTTTGAATGGGAAGTGGCACCCCAGGACTTTGATTCAATAAAGCATGTGAAGCCAGAAGCATCTTTCTTTGTCAGGCCACTGCACATTCTATGAACACAGTCATGGGTTGTGTTAATCAGGCTGAGGCTTTCTCATGTGTGAACCCAGCCACTGAGACTTGATATTCCTCAAGGGCTCCCTAGGCCATTTGCAAGGAGCCTGCTCAGCGCCAGGCAATTTTTGTGGGACCTCCATCCTGATTTAATGCCTGGTCACTCCAGGAACCTAGCCACCTAATTAAAGGCTGCCACCGGGCAGCCAACAGAGATCATCAAAGGTTCCTGGGGAAGGAGCAATTACCAGCTTTTTCAGCTTCAGAGCAGTAATTTGAAGCTAGTTACAGGCAATGCAGATTCCCACCCTAGGAATATGCCTGTCCAGAAGGACTTTCACGTTAGAGGGCCCTGGGCAGAAGACGTTTCATCCAGGTAGCCTTTTCTCCAGCTCCTGACATGCCAGCAATGTCAGTTTGACCTTCTTGGGCCTCCCCCAGGTGGAGAGCAAGCTGTATCCTCTTGTATAAAACCCATCAACTCTGGGAAAACAAAGATGATGTTAAGGACACCCAGCGGTTCCAGAGAAAAGAAGCAACTTGGGACCACTTGTGGTTAAAGCAAGGCAAAATTTTCAGCTGGGGAGGGAGGCTGGAGAAACTCAGCACAGAGCCTCTGCTGCAAAATGCAAAGGCACAAGACACAAGAGAAGGCCTGTTGCCAACTTGCTGTCACCCACACACAGCCCACCCGCAACCTCATATCACAAAGAGCCGCAAACGAAAAACAGGGGTTGTATGTCATGGCCTTCCAGCACTGGTGGGATGGCAGTGGCAAGGAAGGAGTGAGTCCAACCCTGAACAAGCCAGCCTCTGTTGTGCCTGGGATTGTGTCCCCAGCATGTCCTTGCCAGGACCCAAGTCCTGTGTGACAACAAGAAAATATGAAAAGGAGCTTTCTCATGTCTTGAGGAGCAGCAATTTGCACCTCCAGGCCTCCCACGGGATGTCCTGAAAATCAGAACCTCGGAATGCCCATTTCTGAGCCAAAACAACTCTGAATCTTGCGGTCTGCTTTTATGAAGACTTCCGGACAGTTATCACTGAATGGGGGTGCAGTTCAGTCCTTGCTTTGCTCAGCTTAAATGTCTCAGGATTCCCAGATTCTCAACGACTTCCAAGAGATGCCCATATTTCGAGAACTCTCTTTTCTGGTTCTCTGGGGATATAAGCATTATCATCTGCGGGCATCTGAAAGGGGCTATCCCACCTCTGCCCTCTCCTTTGCCCCACCTTTTTGACTTTGCAGCAGAGTGAGGAATATAAGGAGGGTTCAGAACGTATGTCCCAGTACTGGGAAATTTAGCACTATTTAATGCGGATGTGATCGGCGGATTGTCCCAGGAGGGTTTTAAGTTGCAAACTACTTTTGAGCTCTGAGTACTGATTCCCAGGCTGGTTTACACAGGAATTGAAAAATGAAATAAAAAATGCTTCTTTGCATTATGGATACCTGTTTCATAATTTAGCTTTGCAGAACATATTTATTTTATTGTAGAACTTCAGTCTGGAGAATGAAGTTAGGGCGAACTCTGATTCTACCACAGGACTTTTTCAGCAGCTACCAAACTTCCAAACAGAACTTTGGTGAGAAAAGCATAATGTTTAATGCCTCCTGAGATTCTGCTAAACTTGGTGTGATTATAGCTGAAAGGCCAGGATTATTTTCACTGCTCTTCCTCTGATTTTCTTTCAACTGCTTTATGTTCCAAGAAAAAGTTAACTGGAAGCCAAACTTCTCATGAAAATCTGGAGCAAAAGAGGACTTGTCATTCCTACAAATGTACTTGAAATGCTCCAGTGAATGCCTATGTTAAAAATAACTTAGGTTTTGGCAGTGACCTTACAATGCTACAGCCTTCCCTTCCCAGATGCTCCCTCACAGGGTGCTTCAAGGCAGCACTGGAAAGGAATTCACAAATCCAGGAACTGGGGCTCTAGTCCCCATGAAATAGGAGTCCTGGTTTGTGGTGCTACTCCATGGTGGTGGGCGGGAGGGGGTATTTCCCACTTCCATTGCCTGAAAAATCATGGAAACTGGACATTAATTATTCTTGCTTTTTCAGGCTAGGTAGGCCTAGCACCAGGGCCAATTTTGGGCCAAATTCTGCAGAGATGTTCCCAGTGGATCTCTTAACTGCGGAGATTTCCTAGGCTCCATGGAGCTCACCAGCAATTACGCCAGTTACTTGGAACGTCCAGCCACCAAGGTCAAAATCCCAAAGCAATATTGTATGGGGATCTTCATACAGAAGTCCAGTTGTAGACCGTGGAGTAGAGACAGGTGGAGAACCTAGACTGTGGTCTCCAGGGGCTACCCAAGGACGAAACCAAAGGCAGTCCAGGGAGACATTTTCATACCTCTTTAATGAAATTGTTTGGGGGCTGCTACTCCTCAGGCAGAGGACGTTCTGGTGCTTCATGAGCTAGAACAGTGTTTTTCAACCTTGGAAACTTTGAAGATGTGTGGACTTCAACACTCAGAATTCCCCAGCCAGCCTGCTGTTAGAAGAACAGCCAGGGTTAACAATGCCCGGCACCACCCATTACCAGCTTTAACTGCAGAGCTGGGCCACAAAAGAGGGGAGGGGAGCGAGGAGGATGATTCAAAGCCGGCCATATTGCCGGGGACATTTATAGGGAGATGACGCACTCAGTGGGACATGGATGCAGTAAAGCTCTGCTCAAGGGAAAACAGCTGCCACTTCCAACTCCCCAGCAACACGCAAGAAGCAGGAAGCAAAGTCAGGCACGTACAGCTCTCCTCGGCTTCCCCCTCCTGCCTGTCCCCTCTGGTCCAGCAGCTTTGGGTGGTCTGAAAACCTCTGGGCTTCATCCATTTGGGCAAAACCTCCCTGCTGTGGGAAAACTGAGCCAAGGTGCGGGACAATCAGAGACGACCAGATTCAGGAGCCCCTGGGGGGGAAGGAAGCTTGGTTGCCCTCCCTTTGTTCACACCCTTCCTTGCCCAGGGGAGGGCAGGCACCACACGCAGCCAGGCCTGGGCTCAGGAGCTGTCCAAGGAAGAAATGTTTTAGTCTTCTGGAGGCCATGTTGGTGGACGACTTCTGGCAATCCCAATGCATTTGGAGGGCGCCAGGTTGGGGAAGGATGGAGTAGGTCTTCTCTGCCCACAGAGGAGCAAGAGCAGCAGTGGCACCCAAAGAGGCTGGAGGGAGAACAGAACTCTTGTTGGGCCTCCGCCAAGGAGAACCCAGTTGACAGACAGAAGCCTGGCTGGGGAATCTTCTCCATCCCTGTCTTAGATCCTGCGTTGGTAACAGTTGAGTTTTGGGTGTCTTGGCCAAGAACGTCCAGCATCCCAGGCTCACTTCCAATGAAAGCGATCTGGGTCCCACAATGGGGTCCCCACATCGTGCTGCACCCACAAACACATGGAGCAGCATGGACATTGGAGTTATACTAGTAGTAGTAGCAGCAGCAGCTGCAGTTGTTGTTGTTATTAATTGCTCTATTTGGTCCTGTCCTATGTAGAGTCTCACATAAACATCCCAGAGAAGCTTCCCCAAGCTTTTTCTCTTCCAGTGAATTCACTCACTTCCCTGTGCCAGCAGCACAGTTGGGGATCCCTGAATCACGCACGTTGGTAGTCCTCTTGGCTGATGTCTTCCCATTTCCTCTCTTTCTAATTATCTACCCCTGGGGAGGTGGGAGAGATTCTTACCACCTACTCTGCTGCTCCCTTTTTTTTACACACACACACAAGCACACATGGCCACAGGATGTGAAGGCTAGAATAAGAATAGTAATAATATTCCTAGAGGAGGCTACTTTATGCATGATGCCTCTAGTGCAGGGTTTCTCAACCTCATCAACTTTAAGATGTGTGGACTTCAACTCCCAGAACTCCCCAGCCAGCAA